CATAGGATATTTTTCTGGAATTTTCCTTGGGGGATTTTTTTGGAATTTTTGATGAAAGATATTGCTGGAATTTTATATGGAAGATTGTTTTGAGATTTTCTATGGATGATTTTTCTGGAATTCATGGGAGATTCTTCGGGAATTTTTTATGGGAGACTGTTTTGAGATTTTCTATGGATGATTTTTCTGGAATTTTCCATGGGTGACTTTTCGGGAATTTTATATGGGAGACTGTTTTGAGATTTTCTATGGATGATTTTTCTGGGATTTTCAATGGAAGACTTTTCTGGAATTTTCTATAAGAGATACTTTCCACCACCATTACTACTACTACTACTACTACTACCATTAACATTACTACTACTACTGCCACTACTACAACTACTGGTGACATTTCCATTTTAAAATAAGATCACAGATTAGTTAGGAAGGATAGATATATTGCAAGAGATGGATAAAAGGATTGTAAGATGCAAATTATGTCATATTCCTAGTAGGATAATTTGTCATTAGTTAACCATACATATCCGCCACAAACAAATATGTCATTTGTTAATTGTCAAATTTAAAAGACATTTCAACTTACTAACTTCATGAAACAAACTGTCATTATTGCTAATATCTTACAAATATCATTGATTTTTTTCAATATTTTACATTAAATAATAACAAATTTTAATAATTTCAAAACTATTTGCAATTTTTAAACGTAAATTTGCTAGAAATATTGCATCAATAAATTGATCTAATTAATAATTAGTGGTAATGTTAAACAATCATCTTTTACACATTCATGGAACCTGGTTGAAATTAATTAATGTAATAATTATCTTCAGTTTATCAGAATGTGAAAGATTATTTTAATCATAGTAAAAATAACGGAAATCTTTAAAACATACAAATTAATGAAATCTGATGAAATATTATTTCAAATTTTTGAATTACTCTAATCGATTAAGCAAATTATATGCTTAATGTTAATAAAAATGTAGCAATCAATTTGATATATTAATAAGGAATTCTAATTGTGCATAGTAGTAAATTTTTAAAATATTTTAGCAAAATTATGGAATATTTTCTAGCAAATAAACACATAGTTTATTATTTGCTAAAAAAAAAAATTTCTAAAAAAGTATGCATTAAGCAAATTGTTTAATTTGGCAAATTTTTATTGCTCCAAAATATTACTTTAATAAAAAAAATGTTAAAATTACTTCAAATTTTAATTTATTTTTTATTAATAGATTGAAATCGTTGTTAAAAGACAGCGAAATATTATTTATTAAATTTTTGCAGGCCTCGACAATTTCTAAACTTTTAACATTTTTGTTAAAAAAAAAAAAACTGTTGGATGAAATTTGCATGCATTAATTAAGCAAATTTCTATTGTTCAAAAATGTTATTTTTGATAAAACAACAGTCAAAATCATTTCAAATTTTAATTCAATTTCTATTACTGGCAAAATTACATTTTTGTTGAAATTAGATACTAATTTCCTAGGACAAGTTTGCAAATTTGTACCATTTTATATTTTTACTACAATTTATTTGTTAATTAAATTACCAATAAAAGATGAAAATTCTTTGTCGAATTCAGACGAATGAATTTTTTTTTAAATTTAGAATGATGTAAAAAAAGTATCGTCAAAAAAAAACTTTCAAAAAGATTGAGTGGTTTAAGAGGTATTTCCAAAGATGGATTTAAAGAGCATTTACAAAAAAAAAAAATTTTCAAGCATAAATAGATTAAATGCTAAAAATAAATTTACATATCACTTTAGTAATATGAATTATATGAAAAAAAAAATGTTATTAAAGTAATTTTCAATTAGTTCTATCATTAAAAGCTAGTATTAAAAGGAAAAGAATTGGTAAAAGATTTAAAAACTTTTCAATTATTGCAGGATAATATTTTTTGAAAAAGTTAAAATAATTTCAAAATGAATTAAATTTTTATATGTTTAATCTTGGCAATTACTATTTATGTGATAATCGTTGGAGAGATGATAATTCGCGTTATCCTAATGATTTTTCATCGGGAATGATAAGATTTTATCCGAGATGATAAATTCATTGTGAAAATATGACATTTTCCGGTATTCTAATTTTAAAAGATGATCCTGATGAATTTGTTAGGGATGATAGGATTAATCCAGATGATGAATGTTGATCGCATCATTTCCGGAATTATGAATTCTTTGCTAAATTACTAAAGTAAAGTAATAACCTGCAAATGACATTGTACTAAAAGAAATGTCACGTAATCTTGATGAAAAAAGAAAAAAAAATGTTAGGAGTCTAGCAAAGATAGAAGAATTCGAAGAAAAATTTAATTAAAATTTAAAATAAATGAAAGAAAGAAAGATTAAATAAACAAATATTTCATTTTATTAACATTTGTGCTTTTTGAAATAGTCAAAATTTTTTTTTCTCTCAAATGAAATTTCTCGGGAAATATCTTTTCTTTTTTCCCCTAGAACATTACGATTTTTTGGTGATGTCCCCAACATTTTAATTAATTTCCAAATATTTCATATGGAAAAGGTAAAAAAGACTTACCTATAATTTAAAATAGCGGAAAAGAAAACGAGAAATTAAATAAGCAAATATTTCATTTTATGTCATTTGCGCCTATTCAAATAGCCAAAATTAAATATACCATCCTATTCCTAAAGCATTTGTCTCTAAAAAAAAAAGTCTCCAGTTAGCTTTAATGCATTTAAATTGCTTAGAGGAGGGAAGTGAGGAAAAAAAAAGTTGAATTTGATCGAAAAATTGTTGAAATTGCAATGCAAATAATGTTTGGTCCATTAATGTGATCAAGAATGATCTATGATCAACCACAGATCATTTATCATTCCTATCAGTGAAAATTTAACCATAAATGATTTAAGCCATTAAATGAAATTAATCGTTTAATTTAAACTAACATAGAAATGAACGATAACATTCATTTGTTTCTTTTTAAACCACAAATTCAATTTTATAAATGAAAATTTTTAATGGAATTAATTGTGATGCAATTTATTGAATGAATTTAAATAAAAGTTAAAATTAAATTTGACAAAAAAAAATTTTCAATTTCTAGCTATTGAATAGAGAAAAATGAAAATATGATGTAAATTGATGTAAGAAATGAAAGGGAAGAAATATTTAAAAAGTAATTTGGAAAATAAAATTTTTTTTTTGAATAATTAAGTTATAAAATTTTTAAATGTGAATTATTAAGAAGAGAATTTTATGCATAAATGATATTTATTATGATGAAAAAGAAATAGGTAATAAATTAATGAAAGTATAACATAAAATGTCGCCTATACCATGAATTTATTGTCATCCTTTATTTGGCCTTTGCATCATCTTATCTATCGGAAATGGTCATCATGGGAAGAGAATGAAATGAAAAGAAGAGAAAAGGAAAGGGATAAACTAAAAGATGGAGCAATTTGATATGGTAGTATGGTGAACTTGAAGTTAGAAGAAAGGAATGGGAAGTTGAAGATGAGAAGAGATGAGGGATGATATCAGTAAGATAATAGATAGGTGGTCAGTTGACCCGATTGGTCACTTAGTATCTAAACAACAACAACAACAAGTCACTAATGCCATATTACTACTACCTGTACAATATTATCATTAATTCTAAAATGTTACATGCATATTTGAGCAATCATAAATATTTGCATAATAATACTGCAAATAAATTATACATTTATTGATAGGGGATGAATGCATGTAAATAAATTGATTAATTAATTAAATCAATATTATATGTGCATTCTGAACAATTGCAATGCAGTTTTATAAATTGCAAATTTAAATTTAAATTTGTTAAGAAGTGAACAGGAAAAAGAGAACAATAACGAATGATTACATTAAACATACATAAAAAGTTACCGCGAAAATTTTAATTATTCGATTAAACAATGATAATAAATTAGAATTAAACATAATTTGCATAATTTTATCAAAAATATAATGAAATTTTAAAGTTTATAAGGAAAAACTTTGAAGATTAAATGAATAAAAGAGAGGGGAAAAAAGTTCGAAATGAAATGATAGTGGAGAGAGGGGGGGGTGGGGGGGAGGTGACATTTGGATGGCATATCACAAAAGTGATAGTACTCTGAGGAACAGTTGTTAAAAATGTTAATGTCAGTTGTTCGCATATTCATCATTTCAAATTGACAATAATAAGAGGAATGGTGAATGAAAAATGAAATGAGAATGATATAAATAATGATAAGGTTGAAAAAAATACAAAAAAAAAAAGAGAGAGAGAGATAATTTTATAATTTGTTTGGTTTTTTAATTGGAAAAAGGAAGACTAAAATTAGAAAATAAATTTTAAATTTAAAAAATGAATCAGCAAAAAAAAAGATTATAAAATTTAATAAGCATTATAATACGATGAAGGCAAAATTTTTCTTTTTTATAGGTTAATTTAATAATTTTTTTAATTCTTAATTTTTTCGTAATTTTTAATTTTTTTTCATTTCATCATTTTTTTTCTATGATAAAACCGTAAAAAACCTTTAAAAAGAAAAAAACTCAAAAAAAACCTTTAAAAAAGAAAATAAAATTCGAAAAAAAAGGAAATAGAAAGTGGAAAATTTTTTTTAGTTTTAAAATTAAAAGGAAAGTTAAAATTGGTAAAAAAACAATATTATGTAACGATAAACATCGAATTGATGAGAATGAGACAATTAATGGTTGCAATTAAAATTAACCAATTTAAATTAATCTACAAATAAAAGTAATTTAAATTAAACCAATAAAATTAATTTGATTTCATAATAATTCTTTTGATTAACAAATTATCATCAAATTGATTATCGTAATATTGAATAAACTGAAAATACCACAGAGAATGAACGAAAAAAAAAAAACAAAATTATTAGAGAGAGGAAAAGAAAAATAATCTATTTGATGAAAAAAAAAAAAAAGTTCAAAGAAATTTTGGAAGAATGAATGTCGGAAAATTTCAAAGAAATTTCAAAGATAGTTACCGCTTAATTTACTTATATTATGTTATACGGTAACAACAGTAACTATTATTTACAGCACTGCAATCATCTGTTTATTGCAGTGTTCTTTTGTTTTGTACAAATTTGTTGTTTGCCGCTTTATCAGTAAATAATCAGTTAGTAACAATGATTAATCATATATCAGTATATATCGAATCATATATCGATTAATTAAAATATAAACTTAAAATATATTATTTTTATTGGAGAAATTGAAAATTTATGAAATTTATGCTATTTTATTGAAATTTATTTGCATAAAATTGATAAGTTATGCAAAAAATAAACAATGCTAATAAATTAATAAATAGGTAAATAAATAAATTTTCATAAATGCAAATATAATAATAGTAAATTATGCAAAGAGAATTATGAGAGAAAAGAAAAAAAAAGATAAGATTAAAGAAACAAATATCATTATCTATTGTTTTTTACAATATTCAAAAATTTGAAAAAAGAAATTTCAAAGATAGTTATCGCTTAATTTACTTATATTATGTTATACGGTAACAACAGTAACTATTATCAACAGTAACTATTAACCAAATCAATTCTTATCAGTAGTGATTAAAAAAATATAACATCAAAAAAAACGAGGAATTTTTTTAAAAAAAAAATTTTTTTAAAAAAATTTTCTTCAAACATTTTTGAGAATAAACTTTACAAATTTTGGTTAATGTAAAATTTGAAAAGGATTAATTCATTGTAAATCCTTGGCATATGTTTATATTTTGGCAATTGATGAAGGAAATACTTAGAGT